CAGGTCATTTTGACTATAAGGTCACCTCTCTATTCACTATATGACGCTATCTCTCCCATACAGTAAACTTGATTTGAATTAAAATGTTAAAAAAATTAGTGATCATAATGACTTCTCCTTAATAGTTATGTTCAGATCTACTCAACTTTCTGGAATCTTATTTTGTTAATTTCATGAGTAGCACCTGTTCATAAGCTATATTCTAACCACCACTACTCACACACATACTCAATTGGCATGCTGGCCATTTCCTGAACTAGAGGGCAGCTGGGGTAACAGTAAGGGGTTTCAAGCATCTTTATAATGCTATTGCTTATAATCTTCACCTGCACCCACCCCCCATTAGACTATCGGGATAATAATCATCCAGCCAAATTTAATTAGCTTTTAGAAAAGGATATTTAGTAAGGTAGTGTAATAAGGACAGCTGTCATAAAGCATCCCTCAAGACTGGGGGCATACTTTCTCATGAGTGCATGTTGATCCCATTGGAAAGTAGACTCAAGTTAGAGAGCACATGTGGCAAAGGAGTATCCTATACATCTGTTTCCAGAAGTTCTTTTCTCCTCTTCAAGAGGTACTGATAATGTTTCCCTTAGGTATTCTGGAACTTCTCTGCCAGGCTGCTTAGAGAGTCTCAGATTTGCCTTTCCTTAATATGTCTGGTTTGCCATGAACTCCCAATATTCATACTGTCATTAGCAACTGCTGATCCAGGAACAAAGCTAGGATATTGATGGGAAGTCCAAATCTCCCAACCTTTCAAAGCTCACATGATTATTAATTGATTAAGGGAAGGGGAGAAGACAGAGGATCCCTCCTTTCTCCTCAGTGATTCCCTCTCAGGGGCTTAGCTGGAAATGTCCCGTCATAAAGCAAGCCTGCTTATTGGAATGTCAAATTCAGGATTAGCTTGTTATTTTTATACAAGTTCTACAAAGTATGACTGACTCTGCAACCAATCCTGATGGACTTCCTATACAGTGTAATCCCATTTCATCCAATGGCTTTCACTCCTTCCAAATCAATTAGGCATCTTTGCTTTTAGTTTAATTTCTTTGATTTGGTGATTGATTCAGGAGAGGTGCTCTCAAAGGGATAAAGACGCAGGGGCAGAGAAACTTTTTAGTTACCTTAAATGGTATTAGAGTAATTGTTTTATTCAATAGATTCACCCTTACACATATAATAACAAACATAGCAAATCATCCATGTCATTGCTAATGGAAAAATATGTGTTTCAATCAGTGACTACGCTCATTATGTCTGGGACTTTACAAATGAAAACACCCCTCCTAAGTCATAACTGCTCCATAGGTCTTGTCTTTCCCCAGTAGAGTATAAACTCTTTGAGGATAAGGAATGTCTTACTATTGGATTTTATCTCTCCTACTTAGCTCAGTGCTTGAAACATTGTTGGTTCTTTTTTTTTGTTTCATTCATTCATATTATTTTTCTTTATATGTTACTAAATGTGATGTTGCTTTTTGAGGAACATTCACACACACATACACACACATACATACACAAATGACTTGGTTAGTCAAGTTATTTTGTACTTATCAGTCAGACTCACAAGAAGGTGTGCTCAGCAGAACTGATGGACTTCATAAATTAAATTTTCCCTTTTGAGAATAAGGAGCAAAGTGCAAAGAACCTCAGATAAGTTTGAACCCATGGTTATTTGGCCAGAATAAATAATTGATGAAGAAGCCTGGGCCTTGACTACCTTCTACAGCTGTTTGACTCTGTTGTTGTTGTTACCAGGAGGTCACACTGGGGAAAGAAAGGAAAATGAAATCCAAGTCTGTTCAGTTGGAGACTCGGCCATGTAAGAAACGTGTTGATTCATATTAGATGCCTGAGATGATTTATGAATTTCACTCATCCACTCTTGGCTGTTTTTCTTGTTACCAAGAACGATTGGATAGTGTCTGTATTCAGTAATCCTTAGAAACCAGTTCAGACTTATGGACTGAGCATTCTGAACTCAATGTGAGAATGTGTCTATTTCTATGAGTATAACTGAATGTGCATATAGCTGAATGGTTGATGCACAGTGGGACATAGACCTTTGAGAGCTATAGTGTTTATTGAGATTCATTCTTGTAGACTATTCTGGTACATTGTTTAGGTCTCAACTAGCAGGAGAGGTAATGTGGTGAAATGAGATGGAAAGTAGGTAGAAAGCATGTTTGGGATGCAGTATGGCATTGGTTTAAGGTCTAGTTTCTATCCATATCTTAACTTAGAATATCTCTAACTCTCAATCTTCTTGCTTGCCTTATGTCTCCTATTCTTGATACACAGCACTCTATATCCAATTCCAAGTGTTTTCATTGACCCTATGTCCCCCATGCCTGGAATTCCCTCCCTCCTTCTCCTCCTCTGTCTCCTGGCTTCTCTAGCTTCCTACAAATCTCAATTTGAGTCCCACCTTCTGCAAGACACTTTCCCTGATCTCATTTAATGCTATTGCCTTCCCTCTGTTAAAATTATCTAATTCATATTTCATTTGTACATAGTTTTTTTTTGCATGTTGTCTCCTCCATTAGATTGCAAGCTTCTTGAGAGCAGGAACTCTTGCCTTCCTTTGTATCACCAGCACTTAGCAGAGTACCTGACACATAGTAGGGAAAGGGAGTGTTTAATATCCCTATATTGTGAAGGTTCAGTTATTTCAAAATGCGTGTTAGTCAAGAGAAGTGTCAGACTCATTCAAAGTTCACCACTTTGCTGCATAAATCTGTCTCTGCATGCCTCCCAAATTGGTGGGAGGATTGGATTTAATGATTACAATTCTATCAATCATGGAGGATTTCTTAGGTGCTTAATATCCTCTAGGCACTGTGCCAGGGGCTGGGAATTCATGTCAAAAGAACGAAACAATCTCTGCCCTCAAAAAGCTTATATTCCATGAGGGGAAGCAATGTATGAATTTATAAGTATGTGAAGAATGACTATGTATGGAATGTATACAAACAGAATACATGATAGGGAGGGAGGGTACTAGCAATTGTGGAGATGAGGAAATACTTGAGCTTCACTTTGAAGAAAGTGAGGGATTCTGTCAAGTCAAAGGTGAGGAGAGAGTGCATTACAGACATGTCATTACAAAGGTACCAAGATGAGAAAATGAGTTCTGTGTGTGAGAAACAGAGATGAGGATAGTTTGAGGCCCACTTGTCTAGACTGCATAGTGTGGGAGGGAGAGTAATAATAGACAATAAGGTTGGAAAGATATGTTGGGGCCAGGTTGTGAAGGGCTTTAAAAGCCAAAACAGAGGGTTTCTATATTGGGAACCCCATACAACTCAGTCTTGGAGGAGGAGGTACTAACAACTGGTGAGGGGCAAGGGGTGGGGTGGGGAGAAAGCATCTTGCTAAAGGTGGTACTTGATCTGAATCTTAAATGAATTATAGATGCCCACAGGAGGATGTTCATTTCAGGCATGGAAAGGGATGGAAATGAAAGACAGTATATGGTGTCCAAATTAGCATGGTGTTCAATATGACCTAAACCACAACAGTGAGTACGCAGGTAGAACAGGTTGAAAAGAGGTTTAAATGCCAAAAAAAATGGTTATATTTGATTCTTGAGATAAAGGAAACCATTGAAGTTTGTGGGTTAAAGGGATTACATGGTCATCCACTTTAGGGAAAGAACTTTGGAGAATATTTGAAAGATAGATTGTTAAGAGGAGAAATGAGAAGCAGGAAGATGAATTAAAAGGCTATTACAGTAACCCAAGTAAGAGGTGATACAACTCTAAACTGGACTGGTTCCTGTGAAGAGGAAGAGGAGTATGTGAGAGATGGTAGAGGGGTAAAGACACAAGACTTGCCTACTGGTTAGATATGTTTCAAGTTTAAAGTGATTCCAAAGGAGATTCTGAAACTATGTGAATGAAAGGATGTTGGTGCCCACAACAGTAGCAGGGAAATATAGAGGAGGGGTGGAGATGGGAAAGGAAGATAATGAATTCTGTCTTGGACATGTTAAATATGAGATGATTGTGGGACATCCATTTCAAACTGTCCAAAAGACAGTTGGTTATCCAGGACTAATGCTCAGAAGAGAGACTAGGACTGGATATGTACATCTGGAAATCATCTGCATAAAAATGATATTTAAACCCCCAAGAGCTAGAGTCTCCAAGGGAGAGTGTAGAGAGAAAAGAGAATACTCAGAATAGTGACTTGGCATACACTCAGAGTTAGAATCCATGACCTGGGTGAATTCATAAATTAATGCTTTTTTCATGGGAATCTCAATGATACTTTTTGTGGTAGTGGTCCATGGTCACACTGCTTACATCCTGACAATATGAGTTAGCCAGGGTCAATTTTTGTTTGTTTGTTTTCAAATGACAGACTCAAGACTTGTTCAGTTCATTTCCCAGCATAATTTACATCCTGGTTAGAAACCAGGGAGTCCATGAACATACACCATTACTTAATCCCAGTCCTGTCCTGCCTCTTGATCTAAGCTAGGATCTGTGTTTCTTCAAATCGCTATTCTCTATTAGTAATCAGTTGCATGGATATAAAACTCAGCTGTAAAAATAAAAGTTTGACTTTTCAGTCTGTACTGACTGCTAACTGGTGCTCTTGATGTGGTCCCTGTGTAAGTGAGAGTGCAACATTTTAGGAAAACCTGATAGGCAAACCTTATCTTAATATGATATTTTCACAAGCTCAAAAGAGGGATCTCTTTTATCCAGTTGATATCTGCATCTGTAGAAAGACAATAAAAAAGTTTCCAATGTTGTCCAGAGCCTCAGCATGCTGAGGGTCAAAGGCTAGTGGTGGTTGGGGGAATGATGGAGGTGGGCAGGCTCTCCTTCCCTCCTGTTCTATCACTTCAAATCATAAGCTCTTCTTTTGGCGAATCCAGGTTGCCTTCCCTGCTCCTTAATGGCAGAAATGTGTCAGCCCCCTTCTGGATGTTTGACTTTGAGTAACTCTGGTGTATGTCATTCTCTTGTCCCTTTCTCTAGCTGGATAGTGCCACATCCCTCATCCAGGCAGCCAAGAACTTGATGAATGCTGTGGTTCTCACCGTGAAAGCCTCCTACGTGGCCTCCACCAAATACCAGAAGGTCTATGGGACAGCCGCTGTGAACTCCCCTGTGGTGTCGTGGAAGATGAAAGCTCCTGAGAAAAAGCCCTTAGTGAAGCGAGAAAAACCAGAAGAATATCAGACAAGAGTTAGAAGAGGCTCTCAGAAGAAACACATTTCTCCTGTACAGGCTTTAAGTGAATTTAAAGCAATGGATTCCTTTTAAGACACTAGGCTTTACTAGGGAAAAAAAAAAGGTTTTCTTTTGTTTGCTTTTTTTTGTTTCTAATCCTTTTTGTATATGTACCTGCTGACTTATGTGCCTCTGGCATGGGGAAAAGCTAATGAACCAGTATCAGTTTGCATGTGACACGAGATCAGATCAGACAGAATCAACTCATGGACAGCTTGAGTGGGCAAGACGATCTTGTCCAAAGCTGACAGAAAGTACTCTTGAAATGCCTACGTAGAATTGGCCAACAAATTTACATCTTAAAGTGTAAGGGAAAGGGAGGGAGGGGGAAGACAAATTTTGATCTATCAAAGCAAAACTTTATGCATGCAAGAAACATTAGGTTGGCAGGTATATTGCTAAGTGAAAAGGCTGGGGTTGGGGGTGGTGGGGTGATGGTAGAAAATTAAACTTGTATTGCTTCTGTTTCAGTGAAAAAAAAAATGTACTAGCCGATATGCTTACGTGTGTGGCCAACGGATCAAACGATTAAACTTTGAGGTCATATCTTCATGATAGTATGTGCATTTCTAACATAGGGGAAACCTAAATAATCCAGCTTCAAGTGCTTCTTTTAATCCACATTTTGTTCTTCATCTTCTACTCCTGCTATGACTCTTGTTCATGTGATCAGTTATTCCCATTCACTGACAAAAACTGAAATTGACTTTTGCCCGTTGAAATCCTGATAGCAGCATTTGAAGCACAATGTGGTGGCTGGCCTTTGCCGTTTTGGTTATGATTTTATTTTTTGCTAGAAATAGAAGGCCCAAAGGTGGAATGTTTAGAACTGTGGAAATTTGAAAATGTGTGACAGTCTAGAGGCAAATATATAGGTATAGCTTGGAGTGCTGGTATCTACTATACCATTGTATCCACTAACTCTAAATAAACTCATTTAACCTTGAAGTCTGTGTGATGCTTTGCGTCAATTCAGGTACACACTCGTGGGTTGGAACTTGAGCATGGGCAGAAGAGTAGGAACACTAGACCTGGAATCAGAAGACCAGGGTTTGAGTCCTGGCTAATAATATAGCAATTTAAAGTTTGCAAATCACTTTACATAGATTATTTTTTTTGATCCTCACAAAAATCCTGGGAGGCAGATGACATTTTTATCCCCATTATGCAAATAAAGAAACTGAACCTAAGAAAGGGCAAGTGGTTTGTCCAGGGTGACACAGCTAATGAAGAGTTTGAGGCAATATTTGAACTTAGATCGTCCAGTCAACTCCAACACTCCATTTCACCACCTGACTTCCTGAATGTATTTACCCCATTGTAATAGAGAGTCCCTGAGAGCAGAAACTATCTCACTTTTATATTTGCATCATGTGCCTAGAACAAAGTAAGTGTTTAAAATAAGTATTTTTTTTAAATAAACAGATCCAGCACTTCTTAGCCATATGACTAGGAATATCAATACATTGGCCATTGACTTTATCTGTGGCCTACTTTCCTAGATAGTATTAGCATACTGGAACCATCTTTTTCAGTAAGCAATGAGTATTGTGGTAAATCAGCCCCCACATTCATTGGCAGCTTGAGGAATATACTTTTCTCTCTTCACTCAGACACTTCCCCAACCCCTGGAAACCATCTCCATGGGCTCTTTGAGAATGTCTGAAGGAATGCTTGAATACCAAGACAAGTTATAGTTGAATGTCAACTGGTATATAGGGAAAATATAAGTCTACCCTTCCATCCTTAAAAATCTGAATTATTTCTGAGTCATCATAGTTTAAGTTAGGGAGTGCTCAGGAAATCATCCATTTCTTTCCCCAACAAGCTAAATATGGTTCCTTTGAGAATCTTCCACAATTTCATTGGGATCATTCTAGACAGTGGAGATTGCTTCTGTGTTCATTTGGCCAGCTTGCTTCCTCCTAGCTGTCATACTTTATTTTTAAATTCTATTTCCTTATTTCCTATTATTACCATTTTAACACAACAGCAATTTCTTCCTTTCTTTAATACACAATAAAGTCTTTCTAAACCTGTCTCCTTATCTCTAAAATGGAAATCCTAATAGTTTCATTGCTTATTTCACAGACTTTTTAAACCTTATAGAACTGTGAATTTTTGTTCTTAAAAAGTGCCGTGGAATCGTGAGAATGTAAAGATAGGAGGTTGCTTTTGAGATCATCAAATTTCAGGGTTCTGTGTCTCTAGAGCCCAAAGAGGGCCAGTTTTAAGCTTGTTAGTAGCTTGTTACATAGCTTGTTAGTAGCAGATCTGTGAGTCCTGACTCCAAGTTCTTTCATTTCCTATTACATCACACCTCTTTCATTATAGCAAACTCTAATGCTTTTTTAGATGCAGGGGACTGTGAAAAGTATCTTCCGGAGAATCCATTCTATGCCACATCCACTTGTGTGAAAAGTGGAGGATTTTGAGTTTAATTTTTTTTCCATTCACATTCAAATTTTATCCAAAGCTAGAATTTCATTTTCTGGACAAGCATGTATAATGCTGAATCTATACAAAACTTAAGAATGTGTTCTCATCAGGAAGTAGAAATCCAGCCAGTTTCCAAGCAGGCCAACTTAAAATGTACCCACAGGTGGGATGAGGGGAGGGGAGGGAAAGCAAAGTCAGGTGCCACCCGGTACCTACTTATTTAATTAATTATTCTTTGCCACCTAGGTGTTGGTGTTTGAAGTGCTACAAGCACTTGTCATTTCCCTCTAATTATGACACTTTCTAAATTTGGTGTCCTAGGGAAATGGCCCAGTTTCCTCATCCTAGTGACTGCTCTACTCCAAGGTCATGTCACCTCAAAGAGTTGTCCTTTGTGTAATAGCAAACCTACTTTCTATCTAACATCCCCAAATGCCTGTATAGGAAAAGTTGGCAGATGTACTTATGGCGTGCCTGACGGTATTGTGAATTGGGGACTGCCAATGCTGTCAGGGCCCGATCCTAGGTAATAGTGCCTGGTCATACCATACAGGGAAGGAAAACAAGTACTACTCGGGGCTTTAAATGGTGCCTCCCCACTTCTGATCTCCCCTTATGCCTTTAACTTAAGGTTCTTCACATGAGGCTTTCTACTTGGACTCTGTACTTATGGCTATCTGTTGTTTTTGGCTGGGCCCCATTGATACAGCCTCCTAAGGCAATATTTTATCACTGCCAATAAACTACTCACATCCCAATCTCTTGGAGTCATGAAAAAGAGCCCTACCTAAACATATTTTCTCTGCAGGCTTGTCATCTTCCTGAAAATCTCATTGTTTGCCTGGGGTAACTCCAGAAAGTCCTTTTTAGAAATATTTTTTTTTCTTATTAGAAATATTAACTCATTACCAGTCACACTCCAACATGTATCCATCCCACTAGTGGGCTCTGCTGACAGACAGCTTGAGAGATTGTGATTCATGGGATTGAGAGGAGGAAGACACAGAATCATTCAACCTTAAGCCTAGAAGGAATCTTAGAGACTCCTTAGACCAGGAGTTCTTAACCTGGGGCCAATGACATGTGTGTGTGTGTGTGTGTGTGTGTGCATGTGTGTGTGTGTGTTTAATAACTTTTTTTTCAAAATAATTGGTTTCCTTTCTAATCCTATGTGTTTTATTTTATTCATTAAAAAAAAAAACACATTCTTCTGTGAAGGTGTTCATTGGCTTCACCAGCTACTCTAAGTGTCCATCTCACAAGTAAAGTTGAAATCTTCTGTTTTAGATTTTCTCCTCCCCTCCAATCCTCCTTTCACCCCAATTTTATAGGGGGCAGAGGAACGGCAAGGAAGACCTAGAAGGCAGAACGATTCTTGATGGGCTAGACTAGCTGGGGGATTGAAGCTCCTTTTCCACACCTATAAAAGAAGGGGACTGGTTTCACTGATAAAGAAGGTACTGGCAAACTCTATATTGAGAATCTTATGATTCAATTCAATTCAGCAAGCATTTCTTATGTGCTTATCATGTACTAGGTACCATGATAGTGACTGAGGAAACGGGGACAAAACCAAAGTAGTGCCTACTCTCAGATGGTAGTAATCATAATAGTAATGATAATGATAATAATAATAATAATTACAATAATAATAAGAACTAATATTTATATAGCATTATGTGCCTAGCACTGTGCTAAGTGCTTTACAAATACGATCTCACTTGATCGTCACAGCAATCCTGAAAGGTAAGTGCTATTATTATACTTATTTTAGAAATGAGAAAACTAAGGCAGATAAGTTGTGACTTGCCCAGGGTCACACATCTAGCAAGTGTCTGAGACCAGATTTGAACTCATGTCTTCCTGACTCCAGGCATAGCACACTGCACTGTATCCACTGTGCCACCTACACACTTGACATTCTAGGAGATTATCACATGTCAGGAAACTTGACTATCTGGAATTAGCATGGAATGACAGGATACCCTGTATGTGTGTGGAGAGAGAGAGAGAGAGAGAGAGAGAGAGAGACAGAGACAGACAGAGACAGAGACAGAGAGAGACAGAGACAGAGACAGAGACAGAGGGACAGAGTAACAGTGTAATTGGGAGTGGAGAGAGACTGCAGAGGAAGGTTTGGGTGACCAAAATATTTTTGTTTGCTTTCCATTTTGACATAGGGTAGGTCCTGTTCAGGACCACAATGAAATATAATATGGATTCTAGCCTCAAAGAGGAGAACCTGCTGCTGAAAAAATTAGCAACAACAACAATCACAGAAATTCAACTCCTGTTGAAATGAAGTGGGCAGCTATGTGGCTCAGTGGATATCATGCAGGGCAGGGCCTGGAATCAGGAGGACCTGAGTTCTAATCTAGTTTCAGATCACACAGCCACACTAGCTGTGTGATCTGGTCAAGTCACTTACCCCTGTTTGTCTGTTTCCCCCTCTGTAAAATGAACTGGAGAAAAAAATAGCAAACCCCTCCAGTATCTTTGCAAAGAAAACACCAAGTGAGGTCATGAAGAGTCAGACACAATTGAAAATGACTGAACAACAATTGAAATGAATCAAATTACAACTCAATGTCAGTCAAAAAAAAATTCTAAATTATGAGATGGCTCCAAAAGTGGAATGGGCTTCCTTGGGAGGTTGGAGATTCCCTGCCATGCAGGACTTCTAACAAAGGCTAGGTGGACACCTGACAGATGTGTGATAGTGAAGCTTCTTTTAGGGTATATAAACATCATCATAAGATTACAGTTGTGGAACTGGAAAGAACCACAGAGGACATCAAGGCCAATCCCCTTGCAATATGGGTGAGCTCATGGAGACCTAGAGAGGATA